CCTGGGAGCACCTGCCCCCGGGCCTCTGCACTGTTACCACTATTACTTGCATAAAGGGTGCCCTTGCCCAGGCCAGCCCCTACCTGTAGGTGGGTATGATCTGTAGGCTGGAATCTGGCTTTATCTGAAACTTCAGGGTCACCCCCTCGAACCGGGGGTCCACTTTCTCGGCGCCCCGCTGGGGGTTCGACTGCTTCCGGGGTCTCCTCTGTGGCTGGGCTGAAGAGGCCGGGGGAGCCACTCGGGGCCCCAGGCTGGGGCTCTGCTGGCTGATTGGGGTCAGCATGTTCTTGGTATCCTTGGCCAGAGGGAGGGCTCCCAGAGTCTCCAGGGCCTTCGGCTCCCAGCAGGGCCCTAGGGCCTGGGTGTCCCAGGTGGTGGGCTGGGCCAGCCCCTCTGCTGTCTCTTGGAGGAAGTGAAGGGCGGTGACCGAGTCCTGGTGTGCAGGCCAGAAGGACCTGCGGACAAGGGGCAGTGTGGTCACCCCACTCCCTGGGCGGTACCTACATGAGTCTCAGGCACAGGGGGCAAGGAGAACTGTATAGCCTCTGACCCCCATATGACTCCAAGTATCCCTGGGGACCGGGACCTCTTCCTTGTAAGTACCAGCAACTAACATTTTGACCCCTGAGTAACCCCAGGAACCAGAGGTCATGATCCCTTGACCACTGGGCCAGGTTGGGGGAAGGGCCGCTCCTTAACGCACCTGCCACTGGGTCTGAGGCATCCTGGGGTCCTTGGTGCCTGCTGGGTGGCGAGTTCCGGGGGCGGTTCGGGGTCCAGACAGGGCGGCGTCAGCAGCTCTCGAAGCATCGACAAGTCCGGAGCTGGCTCGGCCTCCATTGTGCCCCAGCCCTTACCCACTTCCCAAATCTCGCCCGGCCCCGCCCACGCCGGGCCCACCCGATGAGCCCCACCTGCTTGGGGCGGGGGCGCTTCTGGCCCTGGGTGCAAGGAGCTCCACCTGAGGGAGGCGGGGCCAGTGGGATCGGGCGCCTCTGGCCTGCGATATTGGGCACGGGCTTCGAAGCCTTCACCCTCAGGCCAGCCTCCGTCCCTCTCTCCCTTCCAACCCTGCTCAGATGGCCTGATCACCCCTTTCGGCCAAGAGCAGCCTGGACCCCTCCAAATCCCTCCGCGGCTGAGGGGCGGGGCCTTGCCACGCTGATCCTCGGGCTCGCGGACCCTCACTGTGAGGCCTCTTTCTCAGTTTCCCGCTGGCCCATCACCACCGTGGGAGGGGAAAGCTGGAGGCCTGGAAGTTGCAGTTGTAGACCCCCAGGGCCTGTACTCCCACCCGCACCCCCCCGCAAGGACACTCAAGATACCGGAAGTCTGTGAGACGGTTTTATTATCTCTCTGATTGGATTCCACCCTTTATCCACACCCCCATTCTCAGGGGTTTGGGGGAGGCTGCCCCAACAGGGGCCCTGTCCCCACCAGAGCCTGGACGTGGGATCTCTCTGAAGCAGGGGTTCTGGCCTTCCGGTTGCTTCCGCCATCTCTCCCGGGTCTGTCCCGTGCTCTGGGCGGGGCTGGCAACTTGGCTATTCCTCCAGTCTTGGCCCTGGGGCCGTGAGTGTCTGGGACCATCCAGCTGCCTGTGTCAGTGGGGCTTGGGGACGTGGCCGTCCACGTAGAAGTTCCTGGTGATCTTGGGCAGGGTGAATTCAGTCCCTTCCAACTCAGGTGTCAGCACAATCTGGCAGCCCAGCCGGGAGTTCTCTTGGAGGAGGGGGGCCATGTCCAGCATGTCGTCCTCCCTGGGGCAAGGGGGGCAGCGATTATTAATGGGCCTGGGGGAGTGGCCAGAAAGGAAGCTCTCCGGCCAGCAGCCGGAGCAGGGAGAAAAGCTGGGGCTGCCCTCTGCTGCTGACGGGGTGGAACTCTGGACACCCGGAACGCAAAGGCTCAGCAACCAAGCCCTGCAGCTCAGGGCTGGGAGGGGCCACCCTGCTCACCTCTCGTCAGGAGGAGGCAGAAGGTCCAGCTGGTCCTCGCTCACATACACGTGGCAGGTGGAGCACGCCAGGGAGGCTTCACAGGCTCCTGGGGGCAGCAAGTGAGGGAGCATTGGTAAGGGGAGTAGTCAGGCAGGTGCCATTCAGTGAAGGACATAAAGGAGAATCCCTTTGTTTATTATTATTATTATTATTATTATTATTATTTTGGCCACACCACATGGCTTGGGGATCTTATTTCCCCGACCAGGGATCAAACCCAGGTCCACGGCAGTGAGACCCAAGTCTTAACCCCTGGACCACCAGGGAATTCCCAAGAATCCCTTCGTTTCACCACTCGACCCTCATTTCTCCCTCCCGGGCCTGCACGCCCACTGTGGGCACCCTCCACCCTGTCACTGACTTAGCTGGCTGTTCCCGACCTGCACATAGTTTTTGCAAAAGGACGCCCGGGGTTTCCCCCAAACTCCCCAGCAGGCTGAGGATCAGGCTGGATACCTGGAACCGTTAATGAGCGTGGACCTGACTTCAGTGTAGCTGAGAGGGGACAGGCCAGGCAGGTTTCCTGTAGCCTGTGGGCCCTTGCTGCGACCCTGCCACTGTGCTGGGCTTCCCTGCTGCTGCTGAAGGAGGGACCGGCTCACTCAGCATCTAATGCTGCGGCAGGGGAAGGGGTTAGGGAATAAGGGTTGGAAGATGGAGAGTCTGGGATTTCCTGCTTGCCCCTGGACACATTCCCAACCTTCTGATTGATCACTGGGAACTGTGCTCCAGAATAATGTTCCTCCTGGCCTAAAGCCTTCCAAAGGGTTGTTTTTTATTTGTTTTTTGTTTTTTTTTCCCCAAAGGGTTTTTATAGCTAGAATAAAACCCAAACTCCTCCACTCAGTCCTTGAGATGCTCCCACCCACTCACCCACTTCAGCCACACCGGCCTCCTCACTCAACTCCTCCATGCCAAGCTCATCCCCACCACCGGACCTCTGCATCTTCCATGCTCTTGATCTGGAATGCTCTTCTCTCCACTTTTCCATGGCTACGTCCTTGTTGTCTTTGGGGACTCAACTGTCCTCCAAGTGCCCCATTTCTTGTCCTTCCCCTGACCCTTGTTATCTCTTTAATAATTTCTGGACAGTATTTATCACAGTGTGAAATTACCATCATAATTTCTGCGTTTATCTGTGCTCTGTCAACCTGCCCTCTTCTCTCTGTACTCAGCACTGAGCCTGGCAGGTTGTAGATGCTCGAGAGATACTTGTTATAAGTGAACGGGACAGAATTCTCTTTTCTCTTCCAGACATGTCGGACAATAAGGGTGGTGCTGCAAGGCAGCCTCCTGAACCAGCAGACCATCCCTGTGGGCTATGGTGACTAATTTGCCCACCCTTCCAGTCTCTGGGGAAGAAACTGTCCGGGCCTCGAAACTGCCAGTAGTTCCCAGGCATCTCTTCCTCAGCCCTCTTTCCCAACTCGTTAGCGTCCCTACCCCATGAGACAGAGATTATCTAATGTAATCGTCCCAACTACTCACTGCACACCAACTAGATGCCAGGTTCTACACACTACACATGAGATCTGTTTAATCCTCACAGCAACCTGGTGAGATAGGAACTAAATTATCCCATTTTATAGATGAGGCCGAGAGATGCTAAGGACCTTGCTCACAGCCACACAGTTGGCAACAGCAAAATCTGAACACAGGCCACTTGCCTTGAAAATTCATGTTCTAATCTCTGTCGTGAACTGCCAATCACTGGATTCCAGAACAGAACTTGAGGTAGCTTTGCTATGACCCCCACACCCCACACACACATTCCTACAACTCTCCCCGTCTAATGATTAAATCAGCTCCCTATTACATACACCCAACAGCTAACCCTGTACACTTTTTGTTTGTTTGTTTTTGCGGTACACGGGCCTCTCACTGCTGTGGCCTCTCCTGTTGCGGAGAACAGGCTCCGGACGCGCAGGCCCAGGGCCATGGCTCACGGGCCCAGCGGCTCTGCAGCATGTGGGATCCTCCCGGACCGGGGCACGAACCCGCGTCCCCTGCATCGGCAGGCGGACTCTCAACCACTGCGCCACCAGGGAAGCCCTATTTTTAGTTTTTTAAGGAACCTCCATACTGTTCTCCACAGTGGCTGAATCAATGTACATTCCCGCCAACCGTGTAGGAGGGTTCCTTTTTCTCCACACCCTCTCTAGCATTTATTGTTTATAGATTTTTTGATGATGGCCATTCTGACCAGTGTGAGGTGATACCTCACTGTAGTTTTGATTTGTGTTTCTCTAATGATTAGTGATGTTGAGCATCTTTTCATGTGTTTGTTGGCAATCTGTATATCTTCTGTACACTTTTTAAAAGACTGCTCTTCCCAGTTGCTCATGATATAATTACATGTTTATGCATGGGATTATTGTCCCTATTAGGTTGAAATTGGTGTGAAATGACATGGACCTTATCTGTTTTTTACATTGCTACCTGGCACACAGTAAGTGTTCAATATTCATAGAAGAGCAGCACAGATTAGTGGCTAAAATAGGCTGGGTTTGCTTGAATCTAGTTTTGCCACTTACTTGAACTTGGACCAGGTCTGCTCAACCTGGGGCTCAGTTTCCTCACCTATAAGATAGGATAATATTCTCCCGTCCTGCATAAAGTTTTCATGGAATAGATTCAATCAGTTAATATGTGTTAACAGGCTTAAAGTAATGTCTGCTATTATTGTATTTCCTCTAACAAATACTGATTTAATACCTGTTACATCTAAATACCATGACAGGCAACAGATAAGTGTGAACAAGGCAAACAGGGTTTCTGATCTGATTCTGGGGAGAGATGACAAAGAAGGAAACAAAACAATGAGAAGTGCTACACAGAGAATAAAACACACCGAGATGACAGTTATCGGGGCATGGGGACTTTAGTTGGACCGAGGGGGACAAGACTGTCGGGAAGATGACATTTACATCGGGACCTGAAGGATGAGAAGGAGCCAGAAGATCTGGTGGGAAAGCACTTCTGATGGAACGGCAAATGCGAAGGCCTTGAGGCAGGCATGAACTGGGCTGTTTGAAGAAGAGCAAGAAAGCCAGTGTGGCTAGAAGAGAGGGAGGAAAAAGGAAGAGAACACAAGCTCCTGGAGGGCAGGAGTTTTAGTAACCTCTAGCAAATGCTCAATAAATAACTGCTGAATGAATGAAGGTTAAGAGGCAGGGAATGAGGCTGTGGTGAGGAGGCTGAAGTTTACCCATGTTTGGTGGGAAGCCATGCAGGGTTAAGTAGTGGGTTTTTTTTAACGAATGAATACGGGCCTCCCGAATTCCCTGTGCCCGGCTCCCACCTTCCAGATCCACCCCATGGCGCTGGGCCAGGTAGAGAACATTGTCCCCGACTCTGCCGCTCACCGGAATCCGTTGGCCTGACCGGTCTACGAACACCACGTTCACCCTGGGGACAGATCGGGGTGCACATGACGAACTGGATGATGGGCACAGGGACCAGGTGTAATCTAGGATTAGGGAGTCGCGTTTGGGGCTTGATGGACAGGGGAATAGGGTGATACAAGAAGGGGGACCCAGGGATGAGGCTGTAGGGCAAGGTGAGGACCGGAGAAACCTCGTGAAATTAGTAATGGGGCCCTGGCTCCCACACTCACACGTCCCCGGGCCGCTCGGGGCCGCCGGCTTCTTCCTCCACCGCCGGGCGCGAGCCTAGAAAACACGGTTGGGTGAGCAGCCATGCCGCGCCCCGCCGGCGTCCAATGGGTTAACGCTGCCCGTCCGAAGCTCCCCAGGTACCTGTCGCTCGGAACTTCTTGGCTGTCGCAGGAGCCGCCGCCTCCCCGGACCCCCAAAAGCCCCCGGGTCGGCACCACCGGGCACCCCTGGCCGCCCGCAGCAGGAACCCAGCATTCACGCCTCCCCAGGTCACGGAGGCGGCCATGACAGGCATCATGTGACCCGGAGACTAAGCAGGCGCCGTGGCGCACACGAGAGAGACGGGCCCGTAATTGCCCGAATATAAGCGCCGACATTTTTGCGTGGGGCCGTGTGACAGAAGTGAGTCCAGGAGGAGGCTGCCAGAGTGAGAAGCCGGGCAGGCTCGGCTGCACCAAGACCTGCAGGACTTTCCCAGACCTCCCACCAGGCCCACTGTTATCCCAAGAACCAGCCAGGTCTGCTTTCTTTAAAACCATTTACTTACAAACTTTAATTCAGCAAAGGTCTGTGTGAGAAGACTGGGGAGAGGACACACCCCCCGCCCCCGGCCCGGAGTGGATGTGGACCCCCAGAGTCAGGGGAGGGAAGCTGGTGGCCCAGCCGGCCAGGACCAGGGCCCAGGGTCACCTCAGGCTGACATGTCCTGCTGGTGGGCAGGGGCAGAGCTTATTGGCATGTTGTTGAATTTTCTAGCACTGGGCCAAAGGGAGGCCAGCTCCGGGTGATCTGGCCTGGGGATGAAGAGGCGGAGCTCATCTTCAACACGGAGGAGACAGCAGAGGCTCAGTGAGATGCACAGTGCCTGACAGACGGAGAGCAGGGGGACCAATTTAAGCTGGCAGAGAAAGCCCATCCCTGCACCTAAGCCTGAGCAGGAGGGCTGGTGGGACTGGTTTGCCAAGACCAAGGCTTTGGCCTTCTACTGTCCCCACGATGGGGGACGGCGGGTAGAGGGGCCCAATCCCCAGGCCAGAGCCATTTGGTCCTGAGTCAAGCTTCCGGAGCTCAGCATCTGAGAGGCTCTGGCCAGCGGGGCCTGGGGCCTGGAGCCTGGCTTTTAAGGCATCAGAAGGCGAGGGGGCTGTGGTAGGGGGCTGGGGACCCGGACCTGGAGTACAGCTCAGAGAGGGCAGGCAGGGGCAGGAGACAGCCGTGCCTGCAGCAGTTGTGGGAAACAGAAAAAAGGGCTGAGCCATCTCAAACCAAAAAGTGTGGAATGGAGGCCCAGACACGCTGGGCCTTGAAGGAATCAGAGCTAGGGGTCGTCCTGGATTGTTTAAAAAATAATAAAAATTAGAAAAGGAAACCAAAGTCAGCTGTCAAAGTTAAAAAAGGGGGACAGTCTCTGATCCTCACGGGAGGTCAGGGAAACCTCCAAGGCACTCGAAAGGCCAAGATACAGGAGCGACGAGGCAGGAGAGAACTCCCAGAAAGACGAACACAGACGGACACAGGGGTGGGGAGAGAGAGCAGGCCATGGCCTCTCCCTCTTAAGGCTGCAGGGTTTCCACACTGGGAGCAGGCCAGAGGTGCAGAGTGGCTCCCAGACGCCCCTACATTCCTTGGGCTCCTGCTGGTCGGTCAGCAAAGTCTTTCAGAAATTTTTCTATTACCGAAAGGAAAAAGAAAAAAAAAGAAAAAGAACACAAGACAAAACACCAGAAAACCCAAAAGCGATTTGGTGCAGGCCCTTGAGCATCTCCAGCACTGGCCCCTTAGAAAATCCTCTTGCGCTTCAGGTAGGAATCTGCGTAGTGGCCTCCAAGGCCCTGGGAGTGCTGGCCCACATAGCTGCCTTCTGGGCTAGGCTCGGGTGAGGGCAGCAGGTGGGCGAAGCTGCGTTTCTGGCCACCCAGCGGGGTCTGGAGACAGAGGGGAAGGGGTGGCAGGTCAGGGGCCACCCAGGGGCCACCACTCCCCAGCCGAGTGTCCCCACCCCTCGCCCGTACCTTCAGCAAGTGGCTGTGGCCATTGGGCCCAGGGCCGAGGCCCAGGAGCCCTTCTCCAGAGCCCAGTGGGGAGGAGCCGACCACCTGGGAGAAATGGGAGAGATGTGGGATGGGAAAGCAAGCAGCCCCCAGAGCAGAGGCAAGGGTTTCAGGTTCAAATCTTGCTGCTGCCACTTACTAGCTATGAGACTGGGGTCAGATTACTTCATCTCTCTGGGCCTCAGTTTCTTCATCTGTGGATTGAGGCTATACCACCCACACCCTGGACTGCCGGGGGAGGAAGTGAGAGGCCAAGAAGCCTGGGCAATACTGGGTACAAGACACACAGGCTCAGGGAGAATGGCTTGTTTCAGCTCGGCCCTGAGCAAAACTGACCCCTGCCACCACCCTGGCCTTGGTGCTGAAGGTCACAGGGCCCCGTGCATCCTGGCTGTCCCTGGGGACCTGTGCTCAGTCAGGGAGGCTCCTCACCTTGTTAAGGTGGCTCTGCTTGAGGCCAGCCTGCAGGCCGCTGGTGAAGTAGGAAGTGGGTGAGCCCGAATAGAAGTGGGAGAGGGGCCCACTGCCACCTCCGCCACCCCGCTCGCCAAAGCCACTGGGTGGGGGGGACATCTGCAGAAAGGGGGCTGGCTGAGTAAGATGGATCATTGCAGTATCACCCCTTCTGTCCCCCAAACAACTCTGGGCTTTGGCCAATACGACAGTGGTGTGACAATGCCAGCAGAGGGGCCTGCCCTCCCTTCCTCCTCTGGGGAACCCTCCTCCAGGGAACCACATGCATGAGCACAGGGGGGCCTGCTGGAGGATGAGCTCCATGTGGAGCAGGTAAATCACTACAGCCGAGGCTCTTCCCCAGCCTACTGACTGCCAGTTATATGAAGGAAGCCACCACGGACTGCTGAGCCCCAGCTGAACCC